CGAAAAACTCACTCCGAACTTGCTCTGGAGTCAAACCTATTCTGTTCTGGTTCTAATTAAAACCCGTACCTGATTGTAGCAAAGCGTTTCACTTTTGTCCTCCCTTCTTGTTTACGTTTATATTTCAGGTTGTGCTGCTATAGGTCCGTAGAACCCTCTCTTTCTATTCTTTCTGTTTTAGTTACCCATTCTCTGTCTCACTTCCTTCAAGTTTCATTATTGACTTCTCCGTTACGTTTTGCGGATAACAAAGTGGCAGTGTCCGTTATGTGCCACGTAATAAATTGGCACGTAACAACAGGTTTCTTTCACGATTAAGAATATGGTATACCAACTCTTTTTTTTTAAATTTAGTATGCACAGAATCTAGAGCAACCAAATCATCATCATCCGAAGATGACATATTTCCTAGGCTAGAAGTTCGACACGAGACACAACTGGCAAGTCGCAGATTTGAAGTTCAAAAAGATTTTCTCGCTTTTGCAGGTATTCACTATGTGCTATCTCGGCGCGAGAACACTGCGCAGATCGGCGCTGCTTACCAGTAAGCGAAAAACCTGGTTGCACTGTGTTTGTACACATTGATGTGAAAACTTTGGGTCAAAATATCAACTGGACATTTTTTCCTGCATCTAATTCTTTAAATATTCACTCTGCATCTCGAAAAGTATATCTAACAAAGTAAACTGTAATTAGCTTGAAAATATTTCAAATAAACTCAAGATAAACAAACAAACATCAAATTTTCCACAGTCGCCATATTGAAAAATCACGTGGTTTGGAGAGCCTTATTGCCAAAATAATGTCATTTTGACTTTTATCTTGAAAAAAAAAACAAACTTTAAGTTCTTGCTAAAATCTTAGGACCGCTAGAACTGGTTCAGAAACGGTTCCGAACCAATTCTGGTTGATCCGCGAATCCAGAAACGTAACTAAAAGTTCGGAATTTTGTGATCCGCGAACGCCATTACTTGAAATGCGCATGCGAAATAGTTTCGAACCAATTCAGAATCCTTACCGCGAACGAAGCTATTGTAAAAATTAAATCTGTTTACGGAAACTATGATCGGGTTCACCCGATCGACAGCAGACGTGTTTTGTCTATTTTCACATTCAGCTGCTGATCGGGTTAACCCGACCATAGTTTCCGTAAACGGCTAAATAGAAAGAAGTCAGAAGAGATAATGCATGCAGCATGCATAGGGCGCCTACGTCGCCCACAGTGCTCTTGCTCAGTTTGATCGAATCAAAGCTCAACTCGAAGTTCGAAGCTAATCTCTGGCTAACGAATGTTGCGCGTATTGTTGATGGTTGACAAAGAGAGATGTAACACAAGCAAAATAAATTTCCGTGCTACGACACATGACGCGTAAAGCCCCGGACACATCTATCATACATTCTTCCGATCCGACTCCGATCATACAATCAGGGTCCTTATTCTTGGAACAGAGAGCAGTGTTCCCAGGCGTTCTCCTGACCTAATATACTATTAAAAGTTCAGTTGTCTTTCATTTCTCAATCCTATTGTAGTCGGATTTTAGGAAGATTTGTACTACATTAGATTCACGAATATTGGAGACATTACAGGCAGTTTCTATTGAACAAGGATGGAAGCCAAAAACTGACTTCCTATTACTGTTGGGTGTACAGGGTGGCCCAAATTCGAGCCTCATCATTGGGATCTCGGTAACCGTAAGAGGTAAAGGGTCGGTTAAATTATGGCAAAGTTGCGCAATTTTATGACCAATAGAATGCCGTTTTGAAACTAGAAAGATTCCGGATACTTCCGGAGAGAAAAAACCGAAATTTTGTAAAATCGTTTTTATTTTTTCCCGGGCTTATTTGAAAAGCAATTTCAAAATAAATGTCACTTCATCATTGTCACTTTTTCCCCTTCAGAAGATGGTGCTACTAAATTTAATATTCGACGTTTCGTCTTCTGGCGGCCATTCTCAACTTACGTTTTTTAAATGCAGACCTAGATTTTTTATTTGCGATTTTGTCATCTTTGGGCATTCTAAAACCGATACTGTTTATAATTTTTCAATAACAGTAAAAAAAGCAGGTCCGTATTTAAAAAAATAAATTGATGATTATTCCAGAGGAACGAAACGTTGGATTTCAAATTTAATACCGCCACCTTGTAGAGAAGAAAAAGTGACAATGGGAATGTGAAATTAGTTTTTCAAAACCTTTTTAAATGGAATCAGGAAAAAATTTAAGGAAAACGAGAAATTCATGTTTTTTTAGTATAGTTTTAATTTTTTCCTGATTTTATTTAAAAACATTGTGAAAAATTAATTTTACATTCCCATTGTCACCTTCTCTTCTCTACAAGATGGCGGTATTAAATTTAAAGTCCAACGTTTGCTTCCTCTGGCATCATCATCAATTTATTTTTTTTAAATATGAACCTGCTTTTTTTACCGTGTTATTGGAAAATTATGAACAGTATCGGCTTTAGGATGCCGAAAGATTGATCCTAAGGTAACCCCTTCGCCGTCAACCATGTGAAATTTATTTCATTGCATGAAACTTGTTATAAGTGAAGAAGAGTAACAAAAATCATCAAATAATGAACCTAAAGATCAAATAGAACAAGAAGAACAATTTTCTGCCGAAGAATACCAGATTCAAGATGAAACTAATCCACATTTGGAGATACCAAACCGAACAGATACCTACAAGTCTGGAAATGATAGATCCGACAGAAAAGCGAACCACAGGAGCCAGTAAGCTACAAAGATGCTATTACTTGCATTGATAAAGACAATTGAATTTTGGCAATTGGTAAAGAAATACAGTCACTACAAGAAAATTGTACTTGGGAGGTTAAGAGTTTACCACCAGGAAGGAGCAGTACCATGTGAGTGTATAAAAAAAAATATATATAATAAAGTGGGAACCATTCCAGATGGGTCCATTGACAAGTGGAATGCTAGGCTAGTTATCAAAGGTTAATCACAAAGAAAAGGTGAAGATTACGACCAGACACAGTCTTGTAGGAGCCAAGTGAGGAACAATAAAGGTCACTGCTCAGTATTGCTGCTAGCAAGAATATGACATTCACTCAGTTCGATGTATGAACTATGAATAAGTCTATATGAAGCAACCAGAGGGGATGAAGATGGAAGTAACATGGTCTGTAAATTTCAGCGCAGTCTTTATGGAGTAAAACAAGCAGCTAGATGTTGGAATCAAAGATTTACCAATTACCTAGGAGTTCTTGGTTTTAGAAGATCAGATACCGACCATCGTTTCTTTATAAGGAAAGTTGAAGAAGACACACTTCTGCTAGTAGGTATTATATGTGGATGATGGACTCCAGCGTCAACCAACGACAAATTGAAGAATTCCTTCTTAGAAAGTTAACGGAGTCTAACAATTGCCGCTAGCTATATTAAGGTTTATTCTTTCGCTCTGAACTGAACAAACTGATTGCTTTCACTTTATCTGATTGCGTTCACTTGTGAGCTTTTTCCTTCCCCGATCAGTTCCCCCACTCCACCTCCTAAACTGAATGAGGTCGTAACGGATGTTTGCTGTCCCCTTTCCCCTCAAGCACAACCTCGGATAGCCGTTCATTCACCACGAATTGAAACAAACGTCTTCTTTTGTAATGACTGAACACGACTAAAGTGATTCAGTGAATTCAGTTTCTCTTGTTCATTACGTTCAGAACGTGAGAATATTACTCTGGCATTGAATCTCAATCGTGCTATCTCTCTTTTCGACTCGAGCCGACTGTATCCGACCGAATAAGGGTTAACAATTGTTTTGTTTTGCTAAACGCGCTTGAAAAAGTTTTCACTTCACTAATGATGTTGGTTAATTTGGGTTAGTCTTGAAGGGTACTAGAAGGGGAAATTTTGCCGCCCTCCTCAAGGTTGCCAGGTCTCATGATTTTTCATGAGATCTCATGATTTGGACACATTTTTCATGAATCCATGATTTTCAACAAAAATCTCATGATTTTTGGCGCAATACACATATTGTCTGGCTAGTAAAACGGCGAACTGCAAAAGAATTTGCTGCTTTGCCAAACTTGACAAAAACAATAATAAACAAGTTGGTGACATATTTTTTTTTGCAATATGGGTATGTGTAGCATTTTGAAATAGAATAAAAGCCGGCAGCATTGCGAAATGAAGGATGTGGAGAGGCGTGATTATTCAGAGGCATGATTCTATTGGTTAGAGCCTGAACGACAGCACCAGTGGCGTGGTTATTAATGAAACTCAAGAATCTTTTTCCTTATAATTTTTTACTTTATTTCCCTGGTGTTTTCGGTGCTACTGAACTCAAAGATATGATTGTCATCAGGCGGTGTCAGTTGAGGTGTCAGTGAATATTCTTAGGTTACGCCCAACTTTTCTTCCCCCCTTTCGTCTCTACCAAGTTACCACTTGCCAGACTATACTCCGGTAATTCTTTTATTTTCATATACAGTGAGGACATAAAGTCCGTCGCTCCCCCTCTAATTTTTGAACCGCTCGGTTTATTGCAACGAAATTTGAAATGATGAATATGATGATATGTGGCCAAATTTATCTATGGGCAAATTCTCAATCTTCTGAAAAACAAATGACAGCTTCAGCTGTCAAAATGACAGCTGAGCGCAGTTTTGAAACATTTTTTTAATAGAAGGCAGTATCGAGTGATAGATCCTTTTAAAGATCTCTTTATTCTCAATTTAATCCCCGATTCTGAAAACATTTGGTTTAATGGTTTCCAAATGATTTAAGCCAGGAAAGAGAGGTTGACCCTCGCAAACTCGACACAAGTTCTGTTTTTTTTTTCTGGTTTCTAAGCAGCCCTTGTTAAACAAATGGTTGGCATCGAAGGCATTGCTTATGCTGGTAATCCCGGCTTGGAAATTTTACATCCGGATGGTACAAAGTTTGTTCATCCAATGCCTACGGAATTTCATAATAAAGTAGGCGACTTGATGAGGCAATTACAAGAAACTGTTTGTAAGAATGGAAAATATGTAATTTTAGGCCTGATTTAGAGTCTCAAGCAAAGAAAATGATCGAAGACGCAGGATTTACTGTTGGTAAAGCTCATTGTGCCATCGAAGCCAAACCTCCGGTGCAATGGAACAAGGGTAGAGCTTCGATTTACATTTTGAGAACGGCTTTTGGGGTGGATTGGAGCGAGAGATTACGAATCATTTACGTTGGAGATGATGTCACCAACGAAGATGCTATGATGGTAATATTTTCTACAGAACAATAATTGTATTGAAACCTCATATCTTGGAGAATCTTAAACCGAAGATTATCCAAAATTAAAGTATGCAAAAAGGCACTATTTACAAAACTACTACATAATGAGCACAAAATCGAAAAAGTTCCTTTATAAGTTGTTCAAATATTGACACAAAGTTTCAACTTTGAGGCTCTATATCTCAAAAACTATTCGAGATATAATATGATTTACATCAATGTGAATAATGTGATGTGCCAATATCTTATTTTGAAAATAGTGCCCTTTTGGATGGTCAAATTTTGGTTTTAGAATTTCCATTTCTCCTCTCTGCCGCCTACAGAATTCATTTCTAGAGCACAAATAGCAATTGTCAAAATAAATTCTAGGACCTGAAAAGTATGGCAGCTACTTTCCGTGTCACCTCGTCGCACATAATCAAAATTTCAGCGGAAAGGCGTGTGCCTTCGACCGATTCAGTACTGACCATGTTGAAATGGGTGGAAAGGCATTTGAGCAGGAGGAAGCTTCCAATCGATCCCGGCAATTACAGAAGAAATTCGATGGCAAAATCAATCACTTCAGCTGTTCAAATTGAAATGTCCATGCAAGTAAGTTATAAACTGATTCTGATGTATTTTTTTTCCAACATTTTTTTTAAGGTTCCTGGCTATTCCAGTCCACCATTGCCCAGCAAAAGTACGAATTACCTGGGCAGTACTGTTACTCCCGTGTTTTCTCTCTACGTTTTTTAAATAATAGACGATATTTTACTACAAAAACGGACTGTATTTTCTATTCTTTTGCTAATGTAAACAACCAGGCTGTAGCGTTTGAAAGCTACGTGGTATTTAGTTGTGAATTTTATTCAAAAACTAGCGGACCCGGCGAACTTCGTAACGCCTCAGAATCAATAAATGTTAAGGTAACGCATTAGCTTAATTAAATTCAGTTTTTTAATAAGATAAAATGATCACTAACAATAAATTATGTGGTTCAATAAATGTTCAAGGAATAATTGGAACTAAAAGACAAACATTTAACAGGTATTTAACCAATCGCAGAAAAAATAGTATGTGTAAAGTCAGTTGCATGGTTCTTGAGCTGCGCAGTCTGAAGAGGCAGAGGGGAAAATTCCACATAAAAGCTGGGCTAACGTTTGATATCATAGGCGTGCGTAATGTTATTTTTTCTATTATAAGATTAAAATTTATTTTCAGATTTGCAAATTGCGTTTGATGTTGGGTGATTCGTATTCGTTCCTTCTTCATCGCATGCTCTATATATATTGGCTATTACCTCCCTTGTTTGACTATGAAGATTTTTTTTTGCGTAAATTTGTCCATCTTTTTAAACACCTTTTGGCTACGCCACTGAATAAAACTTTGATTGACCAGAGACGCCAGTGAAACAAAATTTAAAATGTGCCCGCCTAGCTGATGGCGGCGACGGCGCCATCGCCTGGTTGTGGTGGGATACAATCGCTCAGTCATTTTTTCCTATTTTATATACGGAGAGTACGGCTCGATTCGAAACGTTCCACATAAGTGATCTCAGTGATGCCGGATTTCGGAAAAAAAATATGGATTTTCAATGATGTATGATTTATTAAATGGATAAAATGAATGTTTAAAAAATATTAATTATGGTAACATTATATTTTTATGTTATTTTTAGAATATTATTCGATTTGAAGAATAGTATTCTCCATATTTCGAAGACGAAGGAGATTTTATTACAATTTTCATGTATGATTATTAGGGACATAAAGCTACTTGAAATAATTCGCCGGTATCGGTATCGGTATCCGTAACGCAACTAGATACGTTGACAAGCGAAAAGGCTGTTAAAGCGCTGCCTGTTCCGGTAAACGTAAACGTATCTCATAACCTAGACATTTTTGTCTCAAAACTCCGGCGTTTTTATATCTTACCTTAAAATTCTTATTTTTTTTGCGATAGAGAAGCACTAAACACACAAGAAACTCAAAAAAGTATAAACTAAACAAATTAAATCAACCCGGAAGAAAAATGAGGTTATATTCATTTGAAATTTGACACATGCGTCAGGAATGTCTTGATACGTTACCGATACGGATACCGCGAGAGGGCCGTAACGTTACGTTGTACGTACGGTATCTCGGCCTCCGTATCGCTTCTGCACATGCGCAGTACGATACCGATACGGATACCGAGCAAAAAATACGGAAGCTTTATGTTCCTATTATTGATATGACAACGCCGCAATGACGAATTTTCCCCTCTGCCTCTTCAGACTGCGCAGTTCAAGAACCATGCAACTGACTTTATTTCTGTCGTGGTGTTCATTATTAGTGGACTGTATATTGAATTCGTCGCTGTTTTTATTGAAATTAAACGCTGGTTTTGTCTTATTTAGACCACTAAGTATTTATTCACAGAACTACTTCACTACTTTACATTACTATTTACAAATTTACAATTGTGTGAATGATTTTTTGACCGCAGCCAAAAACAAAACTTCAAAAACTGAGCTTGCCACGACGCTCTTATTAATATTACAAACTCTTGCGCGTAACTGATTAACAATGCGACTCCGTGGTCTCTTTTACATATTCAAGGAAAAGCTTAGAATTCCGGAGTCGTGTTCGACCAATCAGAATTGAATTCTAGATTGCGTTGGACCAATTAGAATTGCTATCAAGTGGCGCGGCATATTGGGTGTTGTTGCTATGGAAAATTTTATACCTCTATTATTTAATATTTAAAATAGAATATTCTGGAGAATATTATTATATTCGAGAATATATTATTTCGCCAATTTCAATGGAAAAGCACATTCTCGGCCTTCGGTGTTTGCCGGCCTCGGCTACGCCTCGCCCGTCAACTTACACCGTCGGCCGAGAATGTCACTTTTCCACCTAAATACACAATATACTATTTTCTTTTTCTTGTGTTTTTTTTTTAATATGTTCCAAAGTTCAAGCTCAAATAAATTTTGCAACGTTATTTCATATTCTCAACAAAAAAAGTTGGGTCATGTATGTGAATGAGTTTGCTTATAATTATCAATTAATTAAGTATCCTATGTCACTTCCCTTCAGATAGAAACTACATGGTTTAAATTTCAAGAAGATCGGTCCAGCCGTTCTCGAGTTATAAGTGCTTCCACAAAACACAACTGTGTTTTATATACAGGGTGTAAAAAAAGTCTGGAATATTGCTAATATCTTGAAAACGGCTGAATATTTTTCACTTGAAATTGGCATGTTTCTGTAACGAATAGCTCCGGATCATTCAGGTGTAAAATCGCTTATGTAAGAATACAGGGTGAGTCAATAAAAATGCAAACTTTTTTATTTTAAATGACACACCCTGTAAATTTTTACGGATATTGACAGATCTTTGCAAGATGAATTCACTGATATGGGATGGGGTCTTATCTGTCAAAGTGACGGAACAAGTGAAATAACAAATTCAAACTGTGTATTGTTATAAACACTTAAAATAATTACAACAAATGTTCGAAATGAGTTCCATTACTAGCTGGGCAATAACCTGTCATTTAACTCCTGGAGAACATTGCCGACGATCTCACCTAAATAGATCGATTTTCACCCAGAGGATTCCACCAAGAATAGATCGAATTTCACCCAGTATTCTATTCTTAAGGTCATTAGGATCTAATGGTCTACTTTCATGCACGTTTGATTTTAAATGCCCCTACAGGAAAAAATCGAAGGGGATGAGGTCCGATAATCTCGCTGTCTATTCATTTTCACCTCCTCGTCCTACTTTGGAAACTCTTCATCAGAAGAAATTTCCGGACTTGTACACCAAAATGCGTTGGTGCACCATCTTGCTGGAACTAAGTATTCTGCCTGTTTGGAGTCAGCATATTTGAACTAGGAATAACCTTATCTTGTAGTGATCGTAAGTATTTGTCCTCACATCCCTGGATTTTTTCCTGTAGGGGCATTTGAAAACAAACGTCTATGAAAGTAGACCATTAGATCTTAACGACCTTAGAGATAGAATACTTGGTGAAAGTCGATCTATACCAGGTGAAATCTTCGGTAATGTTATCCAGGAGTTTAAGGACAGGTTAGGTTATTGCCTAGCTAATAATGGAGCTCATTTCGAACATTTGTTGTGATTATTTTTAGTGTTTATAACAATAAACAGTTTGATTTAGTTTTTGTACTTGTTCCGTCACTTTGACAGATAAGATCCCTAAACTCCATATTAGTGAATTTGTCTTGCAAAGATCTATCGATATCCTTAAAAATTTACAGGGTGTGTCATTTAAAATAAAAAAGTTTGCATTTTTATTGACTCACCCTATATTCTTACATAAGCGATTTCACACTTGAATAATCCGGAGTTATTCGTTACAGAGGCATACCAATTTTAAGAAAAAAATATTTAGCCGTTTTCAAGATATCACCAATATTCCAGACTATTTTTACACCCTTGTATATAGATGTCTTGGAACAACAGGTTGTACAGTACCGTAGATGACGTAGCTTAACTGTTGAAATGTATTTTTACCAGACAACCTCTCTCAGTTGTAGAGGTGACGATATTATCGATAGTTTATCGATGGTATCGATATTTCAAAAAATATCGAACAATCGAAAATATCGATAGTTCAAAGTGCAACTATCGATAGTCGCGGGATAATCGAATTCAATGAACTAATTCTAACGGGTAATTCCATTAATTAGCCACCAACGAGTGCCCCTCATACCCTCAATTTTTTTAAATTTTTTAACTGTGACTTGACAAAGACCTAAGAAGTCCAAAAATCAATACTTTTTTTTTTCTTACTCCACCTTTTTCTTGAAGACTGTGCAAAATTTACCATGCAGAGTTAACTTTAAAAAATTGTAATTCTTCTCCTAATCAAGTGATCGCCATCAAGCAAACTGCTAATTGTTAACAAGTCCTGTCTCTTTAAACCAGCGGTTCCCAAACTGGGGGGCGCGCCCCCCTGGGGGGGCGTGAAGCAACATTGAGGGGGGCGTAAGTCTTCTGAACAATTAATACAAATTTTGAGCTTTAAAATAAAAAATTAGGTAAAATTTAAAAAAAGATGTCTACAATCCTACAACAGCGCATACATAAGCCAAAGCAGCTTTGCCATGCGATCTGTTACTGTATTCCTTTTACCCGTTGAGTTACTCGGAGCTGCTTAGTGTCAAAAGCGTGAACGTTCCTTTCAAAAGTGCGTGAAAGCACTCGAGTCGCTCATAGTGCATCCCCCTTTCCCCTGATGCACCAAAATTCATTTCATTTTTTAGGTATGTTATCTAATATTAAAGTATAATGATAATAGAAAGTTCCCGTACCTCAGACGCTATGCTAATACGGTACCGCTAACAATACGGTATTTTAAATGGTATTTTATAGTTCTCGGACACGAAGTCACATCCTCTAATTCCTTATTCTGTTTACATTTTGACAGCTGGATTGAGTGATCTAAACCAACTTTTTTTTTGCTTGTTTGCCAACTTTTATTTATCCTGAAGATTCCTGAGTTTCAATAATTTTTCCTTGGTGTTTTTTATCGAGGAATTATTAGAAGTTCTTACAGACGTAAATGGAGCGTAAACTAATTTTGACATAGCATAGCGTTACGGTAAGGCATCCGCCAACTTCCGTTAGGTAGCGGGCGGCTCCGCTAACGCTAATACCGTAAAAACTGTCATACTTGTCAAATAACGTTACGGTATTTGAAATTTGGACAGCACGAGAACTCTCTAATATCTGAATTA